CACGTTCGCTTACCTCCCGCCCCTTAACGGACCACGTTATAGTCACCATATTGCACTTGATATACCGGTATAACACCTTCAACTATTACGCCAACAGCGCAAGTACCTTTGGAATTCACCGGAATACTTGGGCCGGCAACTTGATTCCTGGAAAAGCGCCTCGTTTCCCACAGATTGGCACCCGCCGCTTACCCGATGTCGATGAAAACGGCGACGGAGCTTTACTGATAGAGAAACTGTGCGAGCTACCACACGTCGCTATACAATCGTTGCCATTTTGGAGGCATTGGAATTATTTGCCTGGCGCTCATCAAACATTTGTGTTTAATGGCAAACATCGGTCTTTTCCTTAATGGATCTCGGCATGTACTTGGCAGAGCAGAATCGATGGAGTCGGGACATTCGAAGATCTAGTCCAGTATCAATGAAATACCGGAATGAATCGAAGCGGTCGGCCGTCGGCTTTTTAATCTCAAACACGCGGACTATGCATTGATATCTGTGCATATCAAACTTCATATTCGGCCCCAAGGTGTGGAGCTCTAGCAGCAGGCCATCGGTTCGAAAGCCACTGGCAGCTCGATCTGAAGACGCACTGGATCTGGAAGCCATCTTGCTCAAAATCACGCCATTCATCTTATAGCGGCGCGACCTTGGACCTTGTGCAAGGTCCATGGAGCTTGCTTCTTCAACTGATACATGACAGACATGCGAACGACAGGTCGTTTAAGAAACAATCAATTACAAGCAGGGGACACTGACAACAAGATCACGACCAAGGGGGTCACCACCTCCGCGTCTTGATGTTGCTGTGGTTGCATTTGTAAGTCACTATCTAGGAAAACTTATCAGCGAAGCACAAGACAGTGTTGTGGAGAGACCGGCGGAGTCGCCAACGACATCTGCGATCCAATTTCATCAATTTGAATGGATCCAAGTTGTCTTACTGCGTCAATTCTCCGATTGGCCGGCAGGGGTGAAAAAACTCCGGTGCATATTTGACGGAGATTTTTGGCGATGCCTGTCTGATGGGTTCTCATCAGCCCAATGTGGAGACGTCGAACAACTTCAATTTAGAAGACATCAGGACCGGTCTACGCAATACCGAAGTCCAAGGCACAACACCGCCAAACATCCCGCAATACTTGAGAGCTCGCTTGCCATTATCCGGTTTCCTTGAGCAAATTTTTGTTGGCAAGCCAAGCCGTGGCCAAGGCCTGGGCCAGGTCAAGAAAAGGATGCAGTGTGGTTACATTGCAGAGCTGACCCGCATCGCGCCCACACGCAAGCGCCGCCGATGGGCAGGTCGTACGTTTTCCAAGCAACCAACAGTGCGGTCAAGTATTTTCAGGGAGTAAACATCCATCCTGCTCAACGGCCGAAGGCCTTCCGATCGGTTGCTGAAACCCTGAGTACACCCGGAGTCGGCTGGGTCCTCGGCTACGACCACGTCACTGAGCCGCTTGATCCAAGCTTTCCGGACTTGCGCACGGAGGAGTCGGCTGGTAAACCACCCAAACCATGGGTTCCCTGCCGTACAAATTTCGGGGTCCTGCCTTCGTCATGGCGCTCAACCGCAGCCGGCCGGGATGTACAACGACTGCGGCGGCTGGGAGCTTCAAAATATTTGTGTGGTCGTCGTCACCGTAAAATCTCGTATGGTTTGGCACGCTCACAGCTTTGCTCGGCCTGAACCATGGGGCGACGCGGTGCAAATATGATGGATAACGGTTCCTTGACCACTAAAACGGGACGATCCCTTGTCTGACGTCGGTCAAGCATCCCCCGGCTCCGCAACCGAGTCTCCTCACCGTCTGGCCCGGCAGTTCACACACAATGACCCATTATCAATCGCACACCATGAGTTTCACGTTTGGTGTATCATGCGAAGGCTTTTGCCAGTTGAGCATGAAGTTCGCGAACTACGTATTGACATTCGTCCGATCAGATTGCGAGCTGGCGAGGGGACCATTTCGCGCAGCTTCATGGGCCAGGAACAGAAAACGAAAAAAAAGCTTTTCTCCCAATTTATTTCGAACTCCTCGCATGAGACAAACGGCGATTCCCGTACGTCAAGTCCACCACTCCTCTGTTGACCCTCTTGTTTTGGCCTGCCTGATCTGCGCCATGCGACGCGTTTCTTGCGCCTCATCTTGTGGCTAAACGAGGTCACGGTCAACAAAGCTTATGCATCTAGATCGAAGGATACTCGACTTTGACTCTCGACCTTTGGAAGGGTCGAAGTTTCTGTACCGTGGTGCTGGAAAGACATCTTGTATGCTGGTCCCCCACATCCGGAAGGCGGCCTCCGGTTTGCACGTATCTTGAAGCTTAAACGCGATTTACTCAGAGTCCCGGCGTTGACAGTGAACACCACTACTGAAAAGGAGGGGGAGAGAGCATTTGGATGGATGGATGGATGTGACCATGCGTTTATGGAGCCGAGTCCCGATGACCGATTTACCACAGCTGGTCTTACCTCCTTAGGGCGCACTCTCGCACGCTCTCAGGTTCGAGCCTGGCGCCCCGATGCAGTGATCAGTATCACCTCGCATAGGGTAGCACGCGGGAACTTCTTTCAGCCAGGCTAACCTGTCATGTCACTGTCACCACAAGACGCGACTCACGACGCCCTCGCGTGCATGCACCGCATATCACAGCGATCTGCTTGTTGGGGAGAGAATAGAGGATGAAACCCTGTGGGAACCACGCGTATGACAACTTTTCCGAGTGGTTGACCGCTCCTTTTCTGCTGGCAAGCAGGCACAGGCTTTGTTTGGCCTTTCGGCGCCAGTGGCTGGGGTGTGCTCGCTGCCGCCGCCGCGCCCGGGAGATGACGGGCTAGGGGGGATATATCAGAATCCCGGTGCCATATAACACGCCTGGGCCGAGTGTTTCAACAACGGGGAGCCGCTGCCAAATCGGCCTTCATGGATGGACGCAGAGAAAAAGAGGACAGGAAAGACCTGCACGATGGACTTAATGGCGCATTATCAACTGGATCCCCTCTTGTGCGGGAGATCCAGATCATACGTCGGTCATCGTATGGACGGGCACAACAAGGTGCCAGGAAAAAGGGGACTTTGGGCAACAGGATCGGTCACGCCCGACACGGCACATGCGGAGCAGACGCCCACACTACGAACAATTCTCAAGCTGCCTTCCCTGTTCCACGGATCAGGTTCAGCACTCGCTCCAGGCCAGTATGCTTGCTTTTGGGCTCTCACATACGGGTTGCCTGCCCCGAGAGCCTGAGAGACAGAGCAACACTGTGCCGAGAAAGTAAAATACAGAGCCCCGAGTGCCATGCTATATGCTGCCTCGCTCTCGCCTCTCTGCGCAACTCCCGGGGTTGGGCCATTCAGTATCCATTCCTCTCTCTCAAATGGCCCCTCCCCTTTTGCTGGGCCGGTGGGCGATGACTAGGCCCCCCTTTCAACAATTACTCGGCAACTTTCTTTGGCATTTCAAACAAGCGCAAGCCTCGCGCCAGAGATAGAGTGCGAGGAAACAAAAATATAGAAAACCCGCCGATGTCAAAAAAGAGATCTGGCATGCGCGTCTCGCCTTGCGGTGGGCGTGTGAAACGCGGGCGGAGGCGCAATCAATCACAGACAAACGACCTCGCCTATCCCGCTTTAGCAACAAGCCCGTCACCCGTCAGTCTGCGATAACACACCCCGGGCCTTGTTTAGTTCCCCGGACTTTTTTTGACGTCTACCGTCGACGCAGAAGCGCACCTACATGACATGCCCGCCATTCCGCTCGCTCGCCAAGCCACACCTGCCACGTCCGCGCTAAGGTCAGGGCAAAAGAACTGTCGTAGGAGAGAGCGGACGGTCACTTTCCTGCGGCCGACTTTACCGTTACCTATCTCGGCAGTTTGTGCTGATTTGGGTAGTAATTTCTGGGAGGGGGCCGTTGCTTTTACAAGCCGCCTCAACTACCTACCTGCCACCTAATCGCCTTCCTACGAGCAAGACTTGCCGACCTGGTGTGTAACACAGGCAGCGGGGCGGAAGAGGGCACCGGAATGCATGACTTGCGTTGCCAACACCTGTGTGCCGCAGTGCGCCATATGCATGTCCTCTGTCTTGGTCACAAATCTGGATCGTGCTGTCATTTCTTTCCCCCTCCCCCCCCCCTCGTAAACTCGGAAGACGCATGCGAGGTTGTAATTTTCGCATTTTTGGGGAACTCTAACTCGAAATGACTCTAGCCTTGACGAACAGGATTCTGGGCCCAGAATACGCGGTACAATGCTACTTTTTGTCCACTTGGCGAGGCCGGCCACTCTCACCGTTGGACTGTAGCCTTTGATGTGGTTCCTCACGATTCAGGGCCCCGTTTCGTTGCGGATGATCTTTGGTCTAGAAGGAAGAGAATTGCGGTTCCGGTGCCCCCACCGATAATATGGGTTACGGTACCCCCGGTGGGAGGGTTCGAGTTCTAGCTTCTTTGATGGCCGCACGCAGAAAAGAATTTCGTCGCGCCCGGACGCGCGGATCATAGAAGCCGGACCCGTAAGAACGTACTTGTTAATATCACGATCCCTATTACAGCCCTGCCTGCGCGTCGAAAACGGTTTGGACCGGCACATTAGCCTGCCGTTGGTTTGTTTCACGGACTGGTAGGGCTGCCCGTCTCGTCGGTATTCGGCGATGATTTACACAACATGAGGCCATACACAACCCGCAGATCCACGTGGTCCAGGGAAGCTAGGGCTATTGCAAAGATTATTGAGCAAAGAAGTAGATTCGAAAAAAGAAGAACTGTTACGTAAACTACAAGATCTCGAAGAAAAAGAAGAAGTGAACAGAAAATCAAAAAGGGGGGTAACATGTGGAAATAAATGATTGTGTGGTGAGAACGAATCGAAGAAAATAAAGGGCGAAAACAGAAAGAAAAACGTCATCGTTGATGCTGAACCGCGCGTGTATGCAGAATGCTTCTCCCTCCCTTCCCCCCTTTTTTTTCCACCCACAAGACGCCACGCCATATTATGCGAAACCATCAACGCGCTCCCAAAGACGGGACACGCGCTGAAAGAATCTCCTGTATGGTGCAAAAAAGAGGTATGTCGTCTGTCGAGAAAGCAAGTCGTACGAAGGATGGGATGAACAAACAAAAAGGCCGTATATTGCGTAGTTCGGTGTGTGTGCCCCCCAAGTCTAATGTGTGTTGTGTCATGATTCGGAACCGTAAAAAAGAAGAAGTCGGTCGAAGGTGCGAAGTCGAAGGGTAAAAGGGTTGAATAAGGTAACCCGTGATGTCCGGGGGTATCTCTAGAATTAGGCGGAAGGGGAATCCAGCAAAAATGAAGCAAAAGGACTATGATTCCCTCGGCCGTGATCGAGGGGCAAGACATGCTGAAATCAAAGAGGCGATGTGCGGTTTGCGGTGTCAGGGCCTTCATCTCAGAGTAATGCTCGAAGGTCGGAGCTGGCGCAGGTCTTCGAACCCCTGCGTACTCCTTATTGTCGGTAGCCCAAGCTATTACAAGCAACGACGGCAGATTTATCGTAGACTCTCGCGTCCTCCCGACAGTCCGCGTGATTATCAGAGTGCGGTGTTCGGAGGAGTCGGTCTGAATGCTCTGGTTGGGCCATGTCGCTCCATGTCGCGTAATGGAGATCATCGCTGAAGGCAAGCTCCTCTTCATCACTGAAGCTGCTGCGTGTAGATGGTGTCTCCAGCCGGGGGCTCAGTTGCTCCCGGTGGAGACATTGAATGCTATAAAGGAGCACCCATACCACCCATCAACTCCTGGGCGCGCTCGCGGCAAGCGGCAGGGGTGAAGCCGGTCCCGACTTTGTTGGCCACAATGCGCCATTTCTCATTCTCGTAGTCTTGAAGTGCAGTGCGAAGCTTTTGGTCCTAAGCCAAGAGGAAGATTAGAATGCGTACTGGGCCATAGATTCGATGTCAATACAAGGGTAACATACCGTCTCGTCGGTCCATTGGGTTGTCTTAGCTTTCAGCTTCGTGCAGTAGCGCACTTGCAAGGTTCCAGATGATCGACCAGGGAAAAAGTCGGCGATTTGTTTCCAGGTAAGGGATTTGTTCTCCTTGAGGTCGATCAGAAGTTGGTCGTCTTCAGGCGTGAACTTGAGCTTCGGCCCTCGCGGTCTCGGTGCTGGAGCGGGCATGCCAGCTTGTCCTACCACGCTTGGAGCGCCGCCTCTATCCCCGCCATCTCCATCGCGCCTCATTAGCTTAGAAGGGGGCCCTGTGTCAGGAAGTCGATGATGGTGGTGCGTAGGAGGTTGTACTTGAACTCCTTGCCCGTAACCAGTTCCCAGTGGTGTCTGTTGCATGCTTTCGAGGTCCGTCTGCTCCAGATCCGGGATTCCAGGCACGGAAAGGTCGAGGTCATCAGGTCTGGGTCTCTTTGGGGCTCCGTGCGGCGCGTGGGACTGGGTGGGCGTTGTCATCGAGGGATACAGAGGAGCAACCACAGGACCCGGAGCACCATAATGAGGCGGGCCAAGATGTCTGGCATGCCCCATCTGGTGCGCCGGATCCATTAGTACCTGGTGGGAGTGGTGAGGATGGTGCTGCTGCATTCCCGGATGGTGGGAATGGTGGCTCGGGGACGGATCATGGAGTGTGGGCGTGTGTTGGGCGCCATGGTGAATGGAGCTCCTATGATGCTGCTGATGGGATGGCGTCGTGTCATAACCATGCTGCTGCTGACTCTGCTCGCCCGGATGCGACTCCTGTGCAGAGTAATCGACATTGTAGTCCCCTACTCGGTAGTTGCCCGCCAGTGTGCCTCCAATACATGGGTTCCGCCAGAGCGAACCGCTCTGGACGGTCGCCGGGCTCTGAAGTGAAAGAATTGGTTGAGCGAATGCCCTCTCGGGCGGCGTCGGGAGAGGGGAGGGTTGTTGGTGCGACGTTGCGGGGTCGCGAGCTGGGTGGAAGTCTCTCAAACTGCGATCCTGTGACAGCGCTATGGTGTCGCCGTGATGAGACCTCCCGTCCAAAGTCAACGAACATTCGTGCCCAGGCGGTGTGGAGAGAATGGTCGCGGTTGGGTGCGGAATCTCGGGAGAAGGGTATTGTGGAATTTTGAGAGATTGTTGGCGGTCGCCGGTGATTGCAGTGGTTGATGCTGGTGCTGATGCTGATGATGACGGAGACTGGAAGAGACAAGTCCCGAGTTGGTGGTGTTGCCGTCTTGTAGAATTAGTCTCCTCGTTGGTGGAGAGCTGTCTGACTACACGGCCAGACGGATGGGTTCCCTTTGGCTGGCGTAAGGTGGGAAAAAATTATTAAGACGAAATAGAAGTCGAGGTAACCATGCTACCCTTTTTGAACTGGTTGTTGCCACGCGCTGTTTAAGCTCACGGGATCTTCCCTTGACTTATTATAAATCCCGTTGGCCCTGGACAGCTAATATAGTGATGAAGGGGTCAAAAGAGAGAAAGCGCGGACGTGGGCAAGGGCTGCATTATATCGTCCGATGTGCCTTATCGAAAAGAGGAATAGAGGGCTGTGTGGGTTCCAGTCTGTCTGGTCCCGTCTGGGGGTCTGGTCGGTTGAGGCAAGGCAAGGTAAGGGAAGACAAGGGAAGGGGACCGGGCAAGAGAGGAGTCTTCCGAGTGACTGAGTGCGAGGTAGGTAGGAGAACGAGGGACGGAGGGCCAAGGGTAGTAGGTATGGTATGCACAGGGTGTGAGGCAAAAGAAAAAGGGTACATTGACTACCGCCGCTTTTGTTCCCGAGTTAAAGCACATTGTAAGCGATTCGCCATGTGCGAGACGTATTCTGTTCCTGAGTAGGTTGCGGAGACTCAAGTTAACCTTGCCCAGTGATGACGGTAGCATAATTTGGGGATCTTATGCCATGGGTTTCGCTGCCGGATATAGAAGCAGGAGTGCCCCCGGCCGGCTCTGATGATGCAACGAGCGAGGGGTGGGCATGACAGCAGACAGCTTAGAACAGTTGACAGACAGGGTACCCGGGGGCCAGGTCTGAACAATTTCGTAACTCTAAGAAGCCCCCAGATAACTTCGATCAAATCCTGGAAGGAAGGCTAGGCGACCCAGACAGCAGAGAGGTCTGGAAAAACGCATGGAAGGAATCAAAACACCTTCAGTCGAATGAGGGATAGAAGCTGAAACGAGCCCTACCATGCGCTGGCTGGTTGGGAAGACCATGACAAGTGAAGTTCTGAGAAGAAGGCCGCCCATGTTGCTCGGTCCCCTGCTTCACTGAGGGGATGTGCACGCTGAGAGGAGAGGAAGCGAGAGGTCAGGAAAGAGAGAGGGAAAAAAAAAAACAGTCCCAGGGGTGGCAGCTCTTGGCCCAAGGCAGTTGACTTGGTGTGTGGGTGGTGCGTATGTGCGGGAGCTTGAGTCCCTGGACCTCCTCCCCCCGGTCGGCCTTGACCAGGGTGTTTTCTTCGGGTGAGGACCAGCAGTGAACAGCGCAACTTGAACAACTCTGCCCATTTTGGCCAGTGCAGTGGAGCCGGTCGGGGGGCAAACAGCAGGTTTTGGGAAAGAAAAATGGCTGGGTGAGCGCTGAGAAGTCATGCCTTGGCCCTGAAGGGGGTATATCTGAGGCAGGGAGGGTATAGCAGAACCGTGAAGAGAAATCGCCGCTCTGGTATGCGATAGGGCCAGCAACACGGTAAGGTTGCAACAGCCACTCGTCCTAGTGGGCAGATTGCCGAGGGGTAAAAACCAGGGACTGCCGGGTGGGAAAGAAGAAGAAAAACCACGGCCGGCAGACAAGGCCGGGCCTTTTCGACGTCGAATGCTGGATCGACCCTGTGGTTTTCTCTGGCCCTGATCTCCAGTGCCGCCAGTTGGGGCTTGTGGCCTGCTTTCACCCCTCAGACTCCCGGCCAAAAACTCGGGAGCGACTCGGAAGTCAACGTCAGTGGTCCCAGGAGGCATGCGACCCCGGTTGACACAAGATGAAGTCGACCGCAGCAGGGGGATTTGCGTTCCAAAGATGAGAAACGTCGTGACTCTTCGGTCTTCGCCTCCATGGCGAAGCATTCGAATCTGGCAGGTCAGGGCGGCAGATGACCGTATGCAGAGCAGCGACTTGAGGTGTACAACTGTGAATGAAATTGGCCGAGATGAAGATGGCCGCGGCGCCACGGTTGAGGTTCTGCTTCGGCAATGCGGCGGCGGCGGCTGATGGACCTAACCACGCCCATGCGGGTTGCGGCGCGCGCGCGCGTCGTCGTCAAGATGGGATGGAGGGGAGGGTCGTCAAGACGAGACTAGTTAGCCTGTGGGGTAACACTTTTTTTGTGAAGAATTTTGGGAACTTGGGACGTGTGCGACTCGACGTCCAGGCCACACGATGGTGCCGTCGTCGAAACCATGGGATGATAGCCGTTCGCTCGACTTGACTATTCGTCTGTTTGCATGGGAAGCGCGCGCTGCCGCCGACCACGTGTGCTTGGCTGGCCCAACTCGACATATTGGTCGTCTCCACGGCCATGAAGGCATCCCAAGACCGCCGCACAGCAACGTACACGCGTGCTCACGCGGTTGCACCCACCCACCCGATGGAGAGCCAGCCGGGAATGTGGTGGGTGTAAGCAGATGCGGAAAAAAGAGAGAACCCCGGCTCTCGGCAATTAGGAGATTGTGCGACTCAATGCACATCCCGGGCTCTTGGTGCGTGAAGGTAAGCAAGTCATCATACAAGCAGCTGGTGGTCGTCTAGGACTGCATCGGCGCCTGGGCAAGAGGTACCGCGAAGTACCGTGTAGTCGAGCCAAGGTCAACAACTGCTGGCAAGGAAGGTTGGCTCGTCTCGACGAGGAGAGGGCCGAGCCAGTAGCAGGGGCGCTTGGACGAGAGAGGGCTGGGACGAAAAGTCGAAGAGGAGGGCTGATGAGGTAGGTAGGGCACTCGGACGGAGCACGGCGGAGGGCTGCCGCAGAGCTGGCGGTTGTGGTGCGGTCGAGTGTCTGGCGGTATCGCAGTGGTTCCGTGTGGGTTGCTGGTGGGCGAGAAGCCGGGCGAGTTGACTTTGTCGAGACATGATGGATCATGGGAGGGGGGTAGTTTTGAAGCTGGAGCAGGGGTCAGACGGGTATCGCATGAAGGAAACGCGTTTCACGCATACCTGGCAATTAAAAGATCAGTTATGCGACCCAGGGATCCCGGGCAATCTTTCTAGAAGGAGTGGGACTCCATTCTAGCGTCTGATCACCTTATTTCTTCGTCGTCAACCTTGAGGCTTGGAAGGTCCTTTTTTGCATTTTGGGGGTCCTCTGGGTTCGATGGAGGGTCTCAGCCGCGAATCGGAAAGCTGGGCAGTGGTCATATCGGTCGAGTCTGTGGGCACGGGGATGGTGATCAGACGCGGACGAGGGCTTGGAAGGGACGGAGTGGGTGACGACGCCGGCGACGATGGTGATGGGTGATGATGATGATGGGGGTGGTTCTGCTGGATGATGGTGGTGGTGGTGGAGATTTGCGACTGCAGGGCAGATGACCAGACCGGACCACTAAAGACCGGATGGACGAGAAAGGCAGAGTTCGACCGAGACAAGATGCCAGGATTGTGGAAACGAGCGGACGAGGGAACGGACGGAGTAAGGTCGACGAGGCGTCCGAAGATGGTGGTGGTGGTGGTGGTGATTATGATTGAACAAGGAGAGAGATTGCGAAATTTGCGAGAATTGAGACAGAGAATGCAATGAATGCACGTCTAAATTGAAGCTGGTGTTGGTCTCGAAATTGGTCGCATACAGAGAAGGACACACGGTGTGAGGTGGTGTGTGAGTGTGTGTGAGCGTGTGTCCCAGGTTACGATTTCGTCATGTCCAAGTCACTTTTGCGGCAACAAGATGTGGGAAGGTACCTTCTGCACCTGGCTTCTTACCTCGCCCGGCCCTACCTGCCCGTTACTTGGGACTTTGCAAAGAAGGTACGTAGGGGACTTGGGGACTTGGGGTGAGGTGGTGGTGGCCTTTGCGGCAGGTTCGGCTTCTTTCTCAAATCACGTCTCCTCGTAAAACTGCAATTGCGTTGGCGAGGATTGGAAACGTCCCGTCGTCAGGCAGGCGCGGACACAGTTCGCATTGAGAGCCAAGCCTCAGTCTGAAGACGAGGCAGGCACGTACCCGCGAGGGGGCCTTCCTTTCCCTTCCTAACCTTACAGTTACCTTACCCCAAATGCAGGTACCGCAATGGAAAGATCAGGAACAGGCAAGTGCGATGGGTTGACAGAAGATGGGTCCATCAGCAGCGAGTGGAGGCAATCCACATCGCTCCGGCCTGCCAACAGCACTCAGCGAAACGGAAACAAGAGGTCCAGAGCCATGATCCACCAGGTTCAGTGTTAGCGTTCACACTCAAAGCCCGTCCCCACAAACGGGTGGGCTGGGCCTTCCTCTTGTCGTAATTTTTTTCTCCTAGGTGCCGTCCTGCTCACGGAAACCCAGCATGCCGTTGTGGTGGCATGTCGTCAGTCGTCAGCCTCCCCCTTCTTACCATCGTCATGAAGGTCCATCGGGTTCCTGTTGGTCACCGTCCGACCATGAGGCCACCGGGCAGGAGGACCTTAAGGGGAGAAAAAGTTAGCAGGTACGCGGGCAGTGTCCGATGTCCGCTCCTACCTTACCTTGTCTTGATTGGATGTACAATGCAGGTGAGGTAAGGTAGGTAGGTAGGTACCTTTATCCGTACCAGCAGGCACCTGGCATCTGCCTCCTTCCTGCCTGAGGAAATGCAGTGAAAGTGAAAGCAGGAACAACCACAAGGCGCAGGAAGGCATCCGTACCTTTACAGAGTATCCGTACGAAGGCGATGCAATCTGATGGTTCCTTCCCGTTCGACACTAAACCGTTGTTGGGTAGTCGGCCAAGGAACCTAATACACCTTAATGGACCTTAGGTTGGCACTTGGTTGGGGTGTTCTCATCTCAATCTTACCCAACCTAACCGCAGTCGGCCCTCACCTCCTTCTCCTGCACTGCACAAGACAAGACAAGACAAGACAAGACCCAGGCACCAGGCCATCAGGCAGGCCTCCAAGCGGGCGCAGACTGCAGACGACAGGCCATTCATCAAAGTCTTCGGACTTGGGGGGATGGGATTCTCCAATTCTCCATCATACCCTCCTGCCATGCCTTGTCTCCTAAACAGGTCCGCCGCGACTGCTGCACTGCACGCTGCACCACGCTGCGCTGCATTGCATCTGCAGTCTACTGCCTTGCTCCCGCTCCCGCACTTTAGCTGCGCTGCACTGCACCACACCGGACATTGCACATGTCAGCTCCATGGACGGAAATCTCCATGCTTCCAGAAATCAGCCCCCAAAATCCA